TGTCATAGCATATTAAGGCGTTAAAAGAAAAAAAAAAGACATAGTATAGTATGGCAAAAAATGTGAAAAAACGACATAGTATAGTATGGCAAAAAATTTGAAAAAATGACTTATTATAATAAGGCATTAAAACTTCCAAAAACGTCATAATATAGTAAGTTACAAAGATGTCATAGCATATTAAGGCGTTCAAAGAAAAAAAAAAAGACATAGTATAGTATGGCAAAAAATTTGAAAAAACGACATAGTATAGTATGGCAAAAAATTTGAAAAAATGACTTATTATAATAAGGCATTCAAACTTCCAAAAACGTCATAATATAGTAAGTTACAAAGATGTCATAGCATATTAAGGCGTTAAATGTAAAAAAAAGACATAGTATAGTATGGCAAAAAATGTGAAAAAACGACATAGTATAGTATGGCAAAAAATTTGAAAAAATGACTTATTATAATAAGGCATTCAAACTTCCAAAAACGTCATAATATAGTAAGTTACAAAGATGTCATAGCATATTAAGGCGTTAAAAGTAAAAAAAAAGACATAGTATAGTATGGCAAAAAATGTGAAAAAACGACATAGTATAGTATGGCAAAAAATTTGAAAAAATGACTTATTATAATAAGGCATTCAAACTTCCAAAAACGTCATAATATAGTAAGTTACAAAGATGTCATAGCATATTAAGGCGTTAAAAGTAAAAAAAAAGACATAGTATAGTATGGCAAAAAATGTGAAAAAACGACATAGTATAGTATGGCAAAAAATGTGAAAAAAATGACTTATTATAATAAGGCATTCAAACTTCCAAAAACGTCATAATATAGTAAGTTACAAAGATGTCATAGCATATTAAGGCGTTAAAAGTAAAAAAAAGACATAGTATAGTATGGCAAAAAATGTGAAAAAACGACATAGTATAGTATGGCAAAAAATGTGAAAAAACGACATAGTATAGTATGGCAAAAAAGTGGAAAAACAAAATGATATAATAAGGCATAAAAACTTCAAAAAACGTCATACTATAGTAAGTTACAAAGATGTCATAGCATAGTAAGGTGTTTAAAGTAAAAAAAAAAGACATAGTAAAGTATGGCAAAAAATCTGAAAAAATGACTTATTATAATAAGGCATTAAAACTTCCAAAAACGTCATAATATAGTAAGTTACAAAGATGTCATAGCATATTAAGGCGTTAAAAGTAAAAAAAAAGACATAGTATAGTATGGCAAAAAATGTGAAAAAACGACATAGTATAGTATGGCAAAAAATGTGAAAAAACGACTTAGTATAATAAGGCATAAAAACTTCAAAATACGTCATAATATAGTAAGTTACAAAGATGTCATAGCATATTAAGGCGTTCAAAGAAAAAAAAAAAGACATAGTATAGTATGGCAAAAAATTTGAAAAAACGACATAGTATAGTATGGCAAAAAATTTGAAAAAATGACTTATTATAATAAGGCATTCAAACTTCCAAAAACGTCATAATATAGTAAGTTACAAAGATGTCATAGCATATTAAGGCGTTAAAAGTAAAAAAAAAGACATAGTATAGTATGGCAAAAAATGTAAAAAAAAGACATAGTATAGTATGGCAAAAAATGTGAAAAAACGACATAGTATAGTATGGCAAAAAATTTGAAAAAATGACTTATTATAATAAGGCATTCAAACTTCCAAAAACGTCATAATATAGTAAGTTACAAAGATGTCATAGCATATTAAGGCGTTAAAAGTAAAAAAAAGACATAGTATAGTATGGCAAAAAATGTGAAAAAACGACATAGTATAGTATGGCAAAAAATTTGAAAAAATGACTTATTATAATAAGGCATTCAAACTTCCAAAAACGTCATAATATAGTAAGTTACAAAGATGTCATAGCATATTAAGGCGTTAAAAGTAAAAAAAAGACATAGTATAGTATGGCAAAAAATGTGAAAAAAAGACATAGTATAGTATGGCAAAAAATGTGAAAAAAATGACTTATTATAATAAGGCATTCAAACTTCCAAAAACGTCATAATATAGTAAGTTACAAAGATGTCATAGCATATTAAGGCGTTAAAAGTAAAAAAAAAGACATAGTATAGTATGGCAAAAAATGTGAAAAAACGACATAGTATAGTATGGCAAAAAATGTGAAAAAACGACATAGTATAGTATGGCAAAAAAGTGGAAAAACAAAATGATATAATAAGGCATAAAAACTTCAAAAAACGTCATACTATAGTAAGTTACAAAGATGTCATAGCATAGTAAGGTGTTTAAAGTAAAAAAAAAAGACATAGTAAAGTATGGCAAAAAATCTGAAAAAATGACTTATTATAATAAGGCATGAAAACTTCCAAAAACGTCATAATATAGTAAGTTACAAAGATGTCATAGCATATTAAGGCGTTAAAAGTAAAAAAAAAGACATAGTATAGTATGGCAAAAAATGTGAAAAAACGACATAGTATAGTATGGCAAAAAATGTGAATAAACGACTTAGTATAATAAGGCATAAAAACTTCAAAATACGTCATAATATAGTAAGTTACAAAGATGTCATAGCATAGTAAGGCGTTCAAAGTAAAAAAAAAAGACATATTATAGTATGGCAAAAAATGTGAAAAAACGACATAGTATAGTATGGCAAAAAATGTGAAAAAACGACATAGTATAGTATGGCAAAAAAGTGGAAAAACAAAATGATATAATAAGGCATAAAAACTTCAAAAAACGTCATACTATAGTAAGTTACAAAGATGTCATAGCATAGTAAGGTGTTTAAAGTAAAAAAAAAAGACATAGTAAAGTATGGCAAAAAATCTGAAAAAATGACTTATTATAATAAGGCATGAAAACTTCCAAAAACGTCATAATATAGTAAGTTACAAAGATGTCATAGCATATTAAGGCGTTAAAAGTAAAAAAAAAGACATAGTATAGTATGGCAAAAAATTTGAAAAAACAACATAGTATAGTATGGCAAAAAATTTGAAAAAATTACTTATTATAATAAGGCATTCAAACTTCCAAAAATGTCATAATATAGTAAGTTACAAAGATGTAATAGCATAGTAAGGCGTTCAAAGTAAAAAAAAGACATAGTATAGTATGGCAAAAAATGTGAAAAAACACCATAGTAAAGTATGGCAAAAAATGTGAAAAAACGACTTAGTATAATAAGGCATAAAAACTTCAAAATACGTCATAATATAGTAAGTTACAAAGATGTCATAGCATATTAAGGCGTTAAAAGTAAAAAAAAAGACATAGTATAGTATGGCAAAACATTTGAAAAAACAACATAGTATAGTATGGCAAAAAATTTGAAAAAACGACTTAGCATCATAAGGCATAAAAACTTCCAAAAACGTCATAATAAAGTAAGTTACAAAGATGTCATAGCATAGTAAGGCGTTCAAAGTAAAAAAAAGACATAGTATAGTATGGCAAAAAATTTGAAAAAACAACATAGTATAATAAGGCATAAAAACTTCCAAAAACATCATAATATAGTAAGTTACAAAGATGTCATAGCATAGTAAGGCGTTCAAAGTAAAAAAAAGACATAGTCTAGTATGGCAAAAAATTTGGAAAAATGACTTATTATAATAAGGCATTCAAACTTCCAAAAACTTCTCAGGTTAATTCAACAGAAATTATACAACATTTCATTCCAACCAAGTAATCTTATTGGACGAGATTCATTCCATTAGTGCTGATATAGTGTACCTGTGGCCTTGTACCTATGACCAAATCACAGCCGTGCTGTTATTCATTAAATCACTCCGTCTCGTGTGATAAAGCCTAATTAAACTCATACTTTGATATATCCACCACTTTATGTTTACTCCTGCTAGCAACCTGACTGCTAGCGTACAGAAGACAGAAGCCAGGGTTAGCTTGCTAGTCAACCTTAGCTAACATGGTTAACATCAGTTGACATAATTTTTCTGGTAATGTATTCTCAGACGACGTGGCCTTCAGATAGCCTCCATCTTTTAATCAATCAAATGCTAGCATACCTAAATCGGTTGTCCTGTGAGATGAAACCTCTTGCATGGCACATTGGAATGATCTAATAACTAAGTGCATACAAATTCAGTCAAATTGGTAGGGACAATTCTGTCCTCCCAAGATGTTGGTAGGGACATGTCCCTACCATCCATATGCAAACCTATGCCCTTGTATAATTGTAACCATGGCAATAAAGCTTAATAGTTTTTTAACCCCAACTACAATCCTTTCCTAAACCACACAAAGTAGTTGCTGTGCCTAAATGTAACTAAAATAAACTAAACTGCCTAATGGCCACTATTTTAGAGGACACTGATATGGGTCGTATCACAGGGTTGAAACAAACAACATAATATGGTTGTTCATGTTGTGCCCCGTTTCCACTCAGTTCAGAATGAGAGGTTTAAGAAATAGTGCTGCCTAGAGGGCGTATTATCACCTTTTGTAAAAGCAATGATGGCTAATTCTCTTGGCAGGCAACCATCATCAACAGCACCACCACTGGCTGGTCCCAACAACAAACCACATTTGAAAACTTACACAGCAACTTTAAATGGATTTAGCCAAAATATAACTTTACAGATGGTAGTCCTGTAAAAGTGAAAGGTAAATTTTCACCCTTTCAAGTTTCAACTTTATTTAATTTATATAGCACTTTAAAAAGAAAACTGGTTTTGCACTGAAGTGCTTCACAAAGACAGACATACAATGTAAACACATACAAGTATAAAGACGTGTGCATAACAGATACTGAGATTAAATGATTAAAATAGAATCACAACACAATTTAAACCTAATCTTTATAAACTGTCTCTCATAAGACAAACACAAACATCTTAGACGATCCCTACATATGTAGTATGTCATCAGGTTCTTACACTTAAACTGGTTTTTATCCACCACATATATTATGACTTAAAGACTCCAGACCAATCTCTTTTGACAAATCATTTATTTAACCACAATTTTCCAGGATTAATCCCTTATAACATGTAAAAGTTAGTGTCCACAAGATCAGATTCAAGTTAAACTGTCCTCACTTCAGTTTAATGGCAGCACAGTCAGTTTGTCTTTTTGAGTCATCAGATCAATCCTCAAGTTACATCAATTACTGTTGATACAGTTTGCAGTTTAACCTGACACATTATAAAAAGTTCAGCATGAAGTACAATTGCGAAGCAAAATGTATTCTACAGGACAACAGTTAGTCAAAAAAACATAACATGTATGTACAGTATGTAAATCATGTGTTTGAGGTGCTTATGGGACATAAATCAAACTCACAAAGGTGACACCACACACAAATCCATACATATTTATTACAAAAATTTGCTGGACTATTAAATTTTATTTATGTTAACATGAGATTTTAACTCTTATGTGTGGTTTCACTGATGTTTGTTAAAGAGTTAAAGTTTAAACACCCTTGTGTACACATGCAATGGACTGATGAAACACATTTATACTACATCATGTTTCATTTACAAACATTTTACAATTTAAGACCTTTATGTTTTTGAGCAAATTATTGTAAAATATGTTATTAACTTTGCATACAATTGAAAGTAACAAGAAACTCTTTCCATGAAACTTCCCACATCTGCTTTTGGATATTTAGAAAAACAAAATCTTTATAATTCTACATAATGTTCAGACCAACATATCTGTCTTTTAGTTGTTCCAGCCTCCCTTCCTCACAACACTGACAAAAGTTAATGATAATAATAATAATCATAACAAAGCATCTCATCTCTTTATCCCTTTCTGTATGTATGTTTTTGGTCATTTTCTATTGAAAAGCTGCTGGTGGATTTCATGCAGAGAGGTTGTGGTCTCTGAAAGGCAGCAGGCTGGTCAGCGGGGCGAAGGGAGGAGGATTGCACTCTGTGTGAGGAGTCGATGCTGAGGGAAAGCTCTGCGAGGCAGCTGTCTTTTCTGCTGGAGGGAAATACATCGAGGCTCCCTGGATGAGAAAGACAGGAAAAACGAAAGAGAAGAAAGAGAAAAAAGGAAACAAAGAAAGAAGCTGACCACACACTTCCAAGTCTTTTATGTGCACTAAACACTGCAATTTGTGATAATCTATTACAAATGTTAAGAGTGATCTCACAATAATCTCTAGTATTGTGTTTGTTAAAAAAAAAAACGAAATCCTTGTTTTGCCAATGAGTGAACAAATATAGGTGACTCAACACCCACTTACAAGCTTTTTACAAGCTTTTACCCACATCTCACTGTTTTTATCGAACTGCTGATTTTAGATTCAAGAATGAGCTTTAATTACTTTCTATTGATGTCAATTCCAGTAAACAGTCGTATAGTGAAGATTATAGAAACTGGTTTCCTGTTCTGATGAAAATATAGCATTCGCGGTGCTAAACACATGGGTATATTACACTTTAAATCAAAGCTAAAATACCACAACTGAATATCGAATCAGTTGATCAAATGTGGGTGGTCAAGACTCATGTTCTTTAGTAACAGCAACAGCAACAACTTTTCCACAAAAACTGCTTTTTTTAGATGCTTTTTTTTGATGAAACATTGTGGTCAGTGCAAACCTCAGAGGCAAGTACACTGCATTTCCAGTAGCTGCTGAAAGCTTTAAATTTTAAGCAGCGGCAGTAGAAAATGTTTGGTTAGCAGCCAAAATGTCTGATCAGGTGTTACGAGAGGAAACCAGTCTGATATTGAATAATAGATACATTTAGATAAATTTTAGATAAAAAGATAAATTTACAAAAAAGAATGCTGGATTACATGCTGCGTCATTTTCTGTGAATCCCTCCTGTGCAGGTAACTTGACTACTGCTAACAATAAACTATCACAGAACATAAATACATTGGACAACTATTGCTGAGTTTCCAGGTGACATCATTAGTGAGATTTACACAAACATGTGGGGTAAAAAAAAATGACTGACATCGAAAAAAGTAATGGGTGGAACATGTTGGATCATCTCAGAGCCACGGATTGCCATGGATTGGATCTGATGGGAAAGTGGTCTCAGACTTTTGGACGGCATTGTATATGATGCTAAAAGATGGTGGACAGTTTTACAAAAGATTGTCCTCACATAAAAAAAAACAACCCCATAGGTCACTGGTGCAGGCAGTTTCTTACAACCCATAGTTACATTTTATTGTTAGTCAACATCTGGAATTCGTGTGAGGCATCAGCTCCCAAAACGACATGTTTATGTTCAAGTGACAAGGGCTGACATGTGTAATCAACCTTTAACGACCCAGCCCGAATGGGTCCCGCTAGGATAGAACTGGAGCAGGCGGGTGGGTAGGGGAGGGAGGGAGGTCAGGGGGGCAGAATGTGCTAAGGCCAGGGCTGAATTTCTTTCCCAGTACAATGTACGTATGTACTAACATAACACACCTGGCATGTATTGCATGCATGGCAGACTTTTAGGAAAGAGAAGGATTTTTATGCTATGTTATAAATATAATTACCAGAATGACCTGATGTCAAAGAGAAGTAAATTTCTGACTTTAGTCGTGTGACTTCTGTGCTTTTAACCCGTGCTACCTGTTGATGGTTTGGGACGCTCACTGTTCATTTCTCATGACCTGTAGAACTAACTTTGTGCAATCTGTGTCAATGCTTATCAGCATCACTTAGCATCACATTATCACTAATACTAGCTGCTGTTTCTCACTGGTACAGTATATGTTAGTTAGCCAGAGCTGACAGATATTAATCAAAATGTGGTGAGTGGGGAAGAAAACTTTTTGAAAAACAAGATTGAGTAATGAATACAAATTCACCTCTAAAAAGTATTTTTACTGGTTTCATGGAAGTTGCTCTATTTCTAAATGGTGATTGTTCATTTATAAGCCATTAAGGCCATGTGTTCTCTGCCCCACCTGCTGCTCGCACATGCTTGAATAATTAAAATCTGAAGGCACAGTATGATACACATACTGTTAGATTCAGTGTGATTTAAAGTTTCCGACGATATCACTGTCTCTGTTGTCAATTGAGAATAAATGTTCAAAATTCCTCATAGGAATCAGAATAAAGATGCTCCTTGATCTCATGTCTTTAAGATTTCTTCAGTATTAGTGTGAGCCTGCGGTAGTTTTCTGTATATCCATGGGTACATTTCATGCATCATGCCTAAGTGTAAACAAATACAGTCTAAAAATCAAGGTTCAAGATGTTTCAGTTTTGTCTGAGGTGGAGCCCACACTGTCAGACTTTGAACCTCCCTGCTTTAAAAGGATGTTTAATGGATGGATGTTGGGTGGAGATGAGGTTTATGTTGTTTGCATGACTCTAAGATGATTAGTCTCATGAGCAAAAAACATTAGGAGAAACTTGACTATACAAACATGTATGTTTGTAATGCTTATCTTGTGCTTGTGGATATGTGTGTGTGTGTGTAGACTGCACACGGACTGGGTGGAGTTGGTGAACTGTGTGTGTGTTGGCGTCCATCAGCAGAGGAGCTGTAGGGGAAGATGCTGTGCTCTCAGAGGGCTTCGTCACAGGGCTGCTACTCCTCTGACACAAAAAAGAAAAACACACACACACACGCGCGCGTGCACGCACGCACACAAACACACACACACACACACACACACACACACACACACACACACACACACACACACACACACACACACACACACACACACACACACACACACACAGTCATGATAAGTGCAAAGAACCAGAAATACACAGACAAATAACTATCTACCAGGTAACAGTCTTTTTATGTGCCCACTAGAAAAAAAATAAAACAGTCACATTCAACCATTGTTTATCATGTTTACATCTCAAATGTCTCACCTCCCAAATGAGCATCGGGCCAGTTGGACCTATCACAATTCAAACAAGTCTTGGATTTCCACAATACGAAGTAACAGTAACAATAAGAAGTGTCAGGTTATGACAGACGCGTTGTACACCTGCACCTGGTGGCCAAACAGCTTATGATAGAGAGTGAATGAAACAGTGGAGGCCAATCAGCTGTTGCGAGCACAACTTCAGTGCTGTGCCTGAAGGAACGTGAAGCTCCATCTGTTAAATGTCAGATTCTGAATCTTTTCTATGCATCATTCTGCAACCCGGCTGCTTCAGCTCTGTTCCATCGACTTCACTAAGAAAATCAAATGTTAGAAAACAGTGAGAACGCTCATGAACGGAAATTAACTGTCTTCCTTTTTTCAATTACTATTTGGTACATTTGCCACTTGGTTAGTGACGATCAGTCTGCTCATTTTTGTGGTGTGGTTTGCAGAAGTCTTTGATGACTGTGCCTCACTATTGTGTCAGTCTCCATTTGGGTGGTCTGTCTGCAACACGCACAAGGTTAAACCCAAAACTGTTGCTGCTGGAAATCTATAAATTTGACAAAAAAAAACATCTGCAAAGCATTAATGTACATATTTTTACATGACAAATAATCATTCATGGGACAGGCAACTCCAGACAATTAGTCACTGCACCACCATCAACGTCATGTACTTCATGACAGAGGAGTCATAAAATTTTATTTCATAAATGGATGTTAATTTGGAGTATATACACACCATAGATATGTAAATATGGAATGTGGTTGCAATTGACAGATTAATGATTTAAAGGTTGAATTATATTAAATTTAAGACCATAAAGAAAAAATCTGAATAGCCCCATTCCCACAGTGAAAACAAAGATTAACAACTGATATGATAACAGTGATTTATGACAGTTGAGGGAGTCTGCTTCCTAAAATTGTAGCACATAATGTTATTTACCTAAAGAATACTTTTTGCATGATATAATGAAAAGATAGTAGTTTTGGCAGAATGCAGTGGAGGAGGACAGCAGGACACAGGCTGTGTGGTCTGTTGTGGGGTCCATATCAGACCAATCTCTGGCAGCACAGAGTTCAATCATCTCCCCAAAGACCACAGACACAGAGTCTCTGTTTTAGCAGGCGCGGCTGAGCTGGAAACTATGAATTTTTAGCAATTTTTCTTGGTAAATAAAATAAAATATAGAAATAAAAAAAATCAATGAAAATGACAAAATGATTCATCAATTATCAGCAAAGTTCTTGTTCTTCCTTTCTCTTCACACTGGTCTCTAAACAATAAGATAAGTTATAGGGACAGTGACCTTTATCTTGGTGTAAAGCCTAAAGACACAGCTGTGCTGTGAAATCATATTATTATTATTATTATTATCATTATTGTTATTATTATTATTATTATTATATAGCTGGTATGTGTTAGCAGTTATTATTTTGAGAGCCATTTACCTAAAACTGTCAAAATGGATGCTATCATTTGACATCAAAATCAGCAGGTCGAGAGCAATGGAAACCAAACTTTTGTTGACACTAGATTTTGCTCCTGTAGTAAACATGATTATCTCCTTTCAGACTGTAAACCGCAGTAATATGATGATATGATTTCAACAACAATATGAGAAGAAGTTTAATGGGAAAAGCAGGAGGAGAGAAGGAATGCTTCTGATAAACCCTGCCGATGGATGGGGGCTTGGCATATGGAGACAGTCTGGGTTAACCCTGTTGATACAGCTATCAGTGTGTCTCAGATTTCATGTCCCACTTTCTCAACTTCACATCCTATCTTTGACGCTTTCACCATTACTCTGGTGCTTATGGGAGAGGGAGACAGAGCTCTGGCTGCAGCAGTAGCAGAGGGAAGAATGACCTCAAGCACCACAGGTACATGAGCTGATCTCAAGTTGTTTTAAGTTTGTCTTGCTCTAAAAAATTTGATGTAAAGATATATTTTGAAAAAAATTAACATAATTATTGATTTATTTAAAGCCATACAAGCTTCAGAATATTACAAATGACCATCAAAATATGTCGGGACCGAGACAGGAAATATAATTCAAACGACAGCCTTGGCACACCAGAGCGGTGTTACAACACAACAGCATCTGGACAGATGTGAACTTAATATGTGTTTACCAGTTTAGCGGTTTTCACTTGGCAGTGTCTTTTTTCCAGCCACCTGACCACAGCATGCAAGGCTCTTAACGCTCACACTCTCACAAATAAAGCAGACTAATTTTCTCCCCCCACGTGCAGTATGTGCCTGAATGTTGGTATGCTGTTGAAGGAGCTCCACATTTAGCAAATTACATGTAAATACAACTAAAGACCATATCATTGACCTTCTCTGTTTTCCCACCAGAAAATATTTAATCAAGTTATTACACAAAGATTACAACACTCCTTAGCACTCACTCAAATTATATTAAGTTTCATCACTTTTCTCCATCTACTGTCTGAGTTTATTGTTCAGAAATTAAGCTGACAGTGAACTAACTGGAACCCATATACAAGACAGACAAATTAAAAGGAAAAACCAACATAAAGCAGTAAGGTGTTGGGCCACCAGAACAGCTCCAGTGCTCCAGTGCTCCTTGGCATTGATTCTACAAGTGTCCGAACTCTACTGGAGGGATGAACACCATTCTTCCTAAAGATATTCCCTCATTTGATTTCATCAAACCACTCAGTGACCCCTCGTGCCCTATGTATGGGGGTGTTGTCACCCTGTTCCTGAAGTGTTGACCATGCTATGTCATGCAACCAGAATAATAAGTAATAGTCCTGAAATCAAAAGCTATTTCCCTTTCAAAGCTGTACAGAATAATAGTTTTTGTTATAGCCATCTCTGAGATGTTTGTAATGAACTCCAGGCCTCCCCTGAATTCACTCTTCCATTTGTCTTTTCAGTGTAAATCTCATCAGCTGATCATGGTGGCATAATGCTAACTGACAGGTCTGGAGACTCAGTTTTCATCATACCCTGAACCAGATAAAGTCTGCGCACAATGAATCCCACATTGTGCCTGCAATGCAGTGGACACCATATGGACAATATTTTCTGGACTCCATGACACACCCCCACTGCTTTCTTATCCATTTCTCCTTGTGCACACAGTGCAAAATGATAAAGTGGCTTGAGGTTAGGAGGGTTAAGGCTTTACCCTGTGGTCCGATCCTATCAGTTTTCTTTGTCATGGCAGACTTTGTGTTACAGGTCATCTTTGCGGTGCATCTGGCTGGATACGACATGCCATAGATTTTTTGGGTGCCATTTAGTCTCGGCTCACTATACAATAGTGGAATCCTGCAAGTTAAAGCGATTTTTCCTCATAAAAACTGATTCTGTTGTGATCTGATCCCACCTCTCACCTCTCACAAAGTTGAATTTGACTAAACGCTGCAAAACTGTGAGAGCAACTAGCATCCAGGATATCTGAACGAGCGCAGAAGGACGATTTTTTGTTGAGAAAGTGTGAGTTGCTTCCTCGTCTTATTTGGAAAAACTGTAAGACGAAACAAAAAATGGTATTTTTAATGGTAATGTAAGCTTGCTCTACCAGCATGTGCTTGCAACCCCGTCCACACTACTTCATGTTCCACCTAATGTTACGTTTTCCACTACGGTGTGAGAGAAAATAGTCCCCTGCCAATTCAGAACAGGTTCAGAAAAGTCCACCTATATTAAGGCTCGACAGGCAGAAGCAAGCAAAAGCAACGAGTAGCCAGCAGTGGCTGATAACAGGCAGGCAGGTAAAAGGCAAAATCCAGCAGCCAGACAAAGAGTCAAAAACCAGCCAAGAAAGGCTGGAAAGCACCAGCATGGACAGCACAACAGACAGTCTGGCAGGGAATGGGTGGAAATGGGCCAGTATAAACAGCCTACTAAGAGCTGATTAGGGGATTGGGAAAAAGGTGAGTAGGTGGGTTGGGAAGAGTAAGTTGGCTGAAAGGCAGGAAAGCCAATGTTAGGTTTGGTGCGTTCAACTTAATGTATCGCTCCGCAGCGCTGACTTAACTTGATGCATGTTGGACTTAAGACAATGCATGCTGGTTAGAAATGTTGTCCGACTTTCACTGGCGCTGCAGACTGTCACAGTGTCACATGACATTAAAACCTTGTGGGAGCAAGGCGGCTGTAGTTTTCAGAGTCAGGCTCTGCAGTTGCTCTCCTCCAGCTGCACCAAGTGGGAGCCACCTCTGTGACAACAGAACCTTGTCCTAATTGGCTTAAAGCTTCACTGATACACATGGTATGGTATGTGTGGTATGTTTTTATTCTGTGGTTGTCTATCTCAAAGTTGATGCAATTCATTTGATCTCCTCCTTCTGGCAGCTCATATTTTACATATGGACACCACACTATAGTTTTCATTTGCACTTTGCTATTGTAAAAGAAGTAGGCCTAATGCCCTTGTAGGTCACATTTCTTATCCTTTAGATTTCTTTTCTTTTCACCCTCCTGGCAATATGGTGACCTTGATATGGTTCTCAGTATAACAGGAATAAACAAAAAATGTTATCTCTAAGTGTTGTTCTACCGGTTATTCCATGTCTGACTTTTCCCCCATACACCTCAACCCATTACCCTCAGTGCTTTCATAAAACATTATTTAGATTTAATGTCATGTGTCAAAAGGCTAACGTAAACTTATATCGGGCCTGGAAAAGTTTTAGAACAATGTATTTTGGGGTGAGTAAACTGTGTGTATAGATTTTGCAGAGCAGTCTGACATATTGAGGGTAACATTCGTATTTTCAAATTAAAAAAAAAAATCAAAGAAAAGCTGCGCATGCCGCAAGATCAGCCATTGAGAATGAATTGAATGTTTCTGACTTGATGGCAATCTCTTTATACTCTGCCACGGCGGTCACCGGCATTTCATGTCGACTATCAAATCCGCTGAAGTCAAAAACAAATGCAGCTAATGACGCTTCTGCTCACATTGTCCTGGAGTTATTCTGCCACCTAATGGCCAAAAATCAATAAATGCACCTTTAAAGACACAGTGAACTAGAGTAGAGCAACTTTTAGCTTCAGCAATGTGAGGAGTGAAACATAATATGTAGACAGGGTTTAATTGTGAGAGGGGAAAAGAGAGCGATGTTGATATAAAAATACTCAAAAATTATAATTTTTTTATGAACAAGAATGTAACAAGAGATAAATGAACAATTGACACAGAGACACAGGATTAGAAGTTAGAAAATATATTTTTCCTGTCAATGAATCTTTAAAAGCCAAACCAAAGTTTGTGAGCCTCAAAACCCGTCTCTTTTTACTGTCAACAATTTTTAAAAGGAACTTTTCAATTTATTGTTAATTGTGAGCCTAAATGGTCTGGACTTTTAGGAAGATGTGTCAGTGTGTGTGTGTGTGACTTACCGAGTCCTTGATGCTGCCAAGCACCGCTGTGGTCAGTATCCCTGTGAAGAGGGCCACGAGGTTCAGGCCAGTGAGTGTGCAGATCAAGATATAAAGAGTGAAAACTTCATCGCAGCTTTGTACTCCAACAAACTCATAGTAGTTGTTGAGGTAGCCTCCACTGCAAAACAAGAGGTAATAAAGATGATTTTTAGATTCTTAGAAAAAAAGACTTATAAGTGGGAAGACAAACCCATGTCAATTCTGAAATAGTGGGCAGGATATTTTGGCAGATATTGTGTGTTACATTGTTTAATTTGCGCTAATATGGCAGTGATAACAATATACTGAGATGACATCACAGATTAATGATGCATCGTCTCACTTGGCGCAGTCGTAGAGGTCGCAGCAGTAGCAGGTTCCACTTCGTACTGTCATGGTACAAGACTCCTTTAGATTCCAACATGACACCTGATAAAGAAAACACAGTTGTTGTCACTGTCTCCCTGCAAACACAACTTCAGCAGAAAACTACCTCCAAGGCCTATACTTCTAAGAGAAAATTGGGTAATAGCTGACCAAGCTTGCCATAATTAATCAATTCAGACTGTGATTACTTCTCAATTAGGCTCGAGGCAGTATATTTTCCTTGTATCATCCACACATCCTTACTGAGGTGTAGAAATTCTCATAGACGTAGCTGGTGCCACTGCTGTAATACTGGCATCTCTCTGCTCTCAGTGGACGCATGTCCTGGCAAAAGTTAACAAATGAAGAAATATCACTCCCACAACCCCAATCAATCTTAATTCAGGATAAAAGACAGAAGTTAAAAAAAACAAGTTAAACTGACATTTATCCGACAAGATAATCCAGACTGTGAGTAAACAAATGTTGAGAATGATGAGTTTGGAGTCTGTGAAAAATTGAAGAGGGCTTCTCAAAAACGATTCTCAGTTCCTCTGAACCAAATGATGTTTATGTCACAGTCACAGCCATGACGTGTGTGTGTGTGTGTGTGTGTGTGTGTGTGTGTGTGTGTGTGTGTGTGTGTGTGTGTGTGTGTGTGTGTGTGTGTGTGTGTGTGTGTGTGTGTGTGTCGTATTACTCATGTTGTGGGGACCTTTGGTCTGTTTACACAGTCACATTATGGGAACTTCCTTATGGGAACAAAAAGCAAGTACCCATTACATAGGTTAGGGTAACATCCTCTGAAGTCATGGAGACACGGCTATGTGTCTGGCAGCACACCTGTCATCCATCTACTCATCAGCCCAACAGTTTCTCTATGTCAGATCGTTGTTTCAGCCACTCTGGTATCTACTGGCTACATTATAAATTTGATCCAACATTTCTTTAAGTATTCAACTATATGTATATTATATGTATATACCATGAACATAAGATATATTCTATTTATTATATAGTATAAAAAGGAACACAGACATATGGAGAAGAAGATCCTTATCTGGTTGGAATAAGCTGAAGCCGGGTAAAATGTTGTGCTTTTACCTCTTAACTTTAACCAGTCAGTGCAAGAATCAAGAGACAGTCTCACACACACTGAAGCATGATGACATGAATTACAGTAAGTTTTGAAATTAGCTCTTCTACATATTGTTAGTACAATAGTGCTGTAATTATAACCTTATATCATCTAATTTTTTCAAAGGAGAATACTGCGATCTGTGATCTATAGTTAAAAATCAATCAAAATCTAGTTCATCTTTTGTGATGCTACACTAAATGTAATTCCATTTTCAACTTTCCTTTTAACCATAAAGAAGAAGCGCGCGCATACGGTATTTCGTTGAAAGTACAAAGAATTCAAGATTGCGGTATGATTCCTTTACTGAATTTTATTGTGCCAACGAAATATTTCCTTCTCCGGTGGGCCCTGATATTTGTCTGAAACATGTTGGCACAATAAAAGGAACCAGGGAGGGAACCCAGAACCATCCAGAAGCTTTTTGTACTTTCAACTAAATGTCGTATTTTCAGGGGCTGAGCTCCATCTGATTGAAGTGCCAGGATCTGTTCTAAAGAAAACAAACATTATTGTGTAAAACACTGCTTAAATGTAACATCCACACTAGCCTGGATTATGTTACTGTTTGGTCCAAAAAGATAAACACAGAGATCTTCAAAACAAAACTGACAGGCCAGTATAATATGTGGTATTTACAGTATTTTGATCACGTTGTTGAATCTGTACAATAAACAAGTGTAAAACAGGGGCAGAGTTTTTTGGCCAGCACAGCGTCTGTTGAACTAGAAAAAGACAGTGAGACAGTCACGCACATGTTGCAAAAATCTCACAGAGGGAAAAACACTACTAAAAACTCATAATATTCTTGAGAGTCAGAGGTGACAAATACCAGAAAGATTAAATACATCTGAATGAATGAAAAAGTTCAGTTCAATTCCTTCACATTTGAGAGGTTTTGCTTCCAGGCTACTTAGACTTCACAGTGCTAAGAGCAGGGTCATAGTTTTACTGTAATTTTTACAATTTCAAATGTAGACAATACCAGTCAAACTACGGTAAATTGAAGGTAGACAAAAACAAGACTCAAATGCATCACTCATAGCAATTGTGAATTAGATATGAATGAAGCATTGGGGATTTTAGACACCTAAATTTCATCTCAACGGCCCTTAAAAAAATGTGTTATCTCTGAAATCATTTTCAGCCCTCTAACGTTAGATTTTGTGAAGCTGTCTGTTAGAGACAGGGGACAAACTATTTCAGGTTCAAATGGCTTTATTTTAACAAGTTTAATATCCAGTATTCTGTACAAAGTCATGTTACACCCTCCACTACAGTCAGTGACGGCATGCACCTATTGGCAGTCCACCATGCCAGGAAAACCAAAGAAGAAGAAGAAGAAGAAGGAGGTAAGTGAACTTCATGGCACAAATTTGAACGCAAGTAAGTTGGCACGTTAGCAAATAACATCGCTGAATGTTCCGACAGAGAACGTCGGCTACTGTTAGCTCCTAATAGTGTACTAATATAGTGTTAGCTACAGTGTGAGTCTTTGCCTCAGGTTTCATTAATTAACTGAGGGTCCTCTCTAAAGCAGGTGTATTTTAGATATGGAATAGAGAAGCCTGATTGAAAGTGATGATTAGCTCTTGTTTAGGTCTGTGCTTTGCTTTTTTTTTTTTTAACCTGTTGACCGTTCTTTAAGGGAGGCAGCTCACTCTTTATCACAGTAACGTCCATCACATTCAGTAAATGTCAGTCATCCAGGTCATCAGATGTCTGGATGTATTAAGCCAAAGACAACTGGCCTTCCTGGAGAGAAACAGAGTTCTCTTGCACTGATCGACCCTCTTTCATATAAAGTCTCCAAGACCAAAGAGAAAGTTGTTTTTTTTCTCACATTATGCTTTCACAACTGCTAATTTATTTAGGTTAAAAAGCAAAAAACACAGCTGGCAATTGTTATAAATACAGGGCTATAACATGTGGGAACTCTTTTCATGTTTAATAATATGTCAATATTGCCAGCAGAGTGGTGTTGGCACACTCTGCGGCTGAAGAGGCTATCCAGGTGGATCACAGTCAACCAGCACAGCGGTTTATTTTCGCTTCACGGTCTACTGTTACTGCTTTGTTTCATCCCCAAATACTATCGTCTCTAGTGTTACAGCATACGCATGCAAGTGCAGGTAACTCACCATGTTTAAGACAATACAGACGCCATCAATCACCAGGCAAAGAAAAGAGGTGATGATCCCAAAGCTGAGGAATACAATCGCAGCCGTCAGCTTGAGGAGGAACAAAGAAAAAAGCACAAATATTATGATTTTTCAATTTGTGTAAGGCTTACTCCAGATTTGTGTTTCTCAACTGTGCTCAGCACTGGTTAGACTCCTAAAGCAAGTCTCCAAAGGTCAGATATAGTCTCAGAACATAAATATGGTAATCCTCTTTGTTTAAACAGCAACTCTTTAAAATCATAATATTAGTTAAGCTAAATACTTGTGTTAACTCTCTGTACTGCTTACAGTACAGCCACCGGCTGTGCAGAGCTTAAATTCTTAACAGACTCTATCTCTCCTTCATTCCTGCTCTTCATTAATCACAGTCCCAATTTAACACATTCCAAATAACACTTAGATAAATCAAAAATGGAAAATGAATTTCCACTATTCATCATTATCCTACACTGAATCTACTGAGTTACTTATCACAAAACGTCTCTCTCAGCAGTGTGAAGGATGAAAACATGAAACCAAACCCAAGCACAACAAGCTCGACCCAAAACCTGGCATGAATAGTATCAGAGAATTTAAGGTGAATCTGTGTATTTGATTAAGCAATACCATGCATGGATGATGACATATAGAAGGAAGGTTTCATTTTTTATAGCCTTACCAAATTGAATCAAAGCAGATTTAATGTGAGTTTTTTATACTCATCAACAGAAAAAGCATAGGTTTTCTTACCAGACTGACTCACCAAATGTTGGATCTTACAATCAATTGACTCCACAAAAGGTGACCCTCCATTTAACTAATTCTATAATGTCTAAAATCAATTGGCAACACTATTAATATTTAGGTGAGGACTGCTAAAGTGGGGGAATACGTGTGCAAATACTAATGAAAACATGGATTTTGGATTTTATTTCCACTGCCAAGGAGGTTATGTTTTCACCTGTGTCTGTGTGTCAGCAGGATTACGTAAAACATACTGAACGGATTTCACACATTCATGATGTTGACATCTAGTTTGCACAATATGGTGCAGAAGAGAGTTGTGCAAAAAGAATGATTTGCATTTTACACAGAGTTGGACTTATTAATAATAAGGAACAGTGCATATGGCACCAGCATCAATAAGGGATGCTTACATCAGTATTTCATTCAACATGCAGTTAATAAAATTACACAAAAACAACAGCAGTTGTGGCACAGTTACGATACGATTCATACAACTGTAGAGCTTTATAACACAGGTAATAAAACTATACAGCTGTGAGACTATAAATAAAGAAATAAAGTTATAATTGAAAGCAAAAGACATGTAGGATTCTTTGGCCTTGGTGGAGGTATGGACTCCACTGAGTGTTAGCCTACTACCTAATCATTTCTTTAGATCACTTTGTGGAGATTTCTTTTTACTTTGAGGCATTACAGGGTCTTTTTCCGTTGAACAGTGTCAAAAAAGGCACATTAAATTTAATCTGATTCAATGTTGTAAATCAATAAAACAATATAACATCCAAGCAGCAAGAATATGTTTTATAAGCACTGAATATATTACTCCAGACCAAAGAGAGACAGACAACTGACTATCCTTGGACACTGACAGGGTAAGAATGAATGACTACATAGCTGCACATGTGAAAATATGTGGAAAAGGTGCCACAAATGTTTGACATTAGACATGAAATCTGATACATGGAGGAAGAGCTAATTAACTTTTGATTTACTGGGAGAACATTTTCAAATAAGCCACAGCAATTACTTCAGCAGCAATATACATGGTACAACAATTACCTAATTTCCTGTTCTCATAGTGTTAACAGCCATATGTTAGTTATAGGAAGCTAATGTAACTTATTACAGTACTGTACCTCTTTAGACAGTTTTCACTTTGTAAAATGGCACTATTGTGATAAGACAGAATAAGACAGAATGAGCAGCAGAGGTGTGATTCACATCACATGCATCTAGGTCTGTTTTTCTATTTATTGCTACTGCAACATTTAAAAGAAGCAGTATAGAGGACGGACATCTGGGAAAAAAAAGTGAACATTCAACAGTTTGTTCAATAAAATAACACGAACATACAAATACCTAGTACATTCAATGAATACCAGATGTTAGAGTCTCATAGACTGGCTCATTCTGTGAAAGCTGTCAATTAATTGCATCTGAGAATCATTTATTATATTTATAAGAACAGATCAAAGACGGCAACATTTTTCTAATGAAAAAGGTTCTGGCCCGACATACACTGGGGTCCTAGGCCCATTCCTGGCCCATCTGGGATAATTGCGCCTGTTATCCCGCAGTGTTGACTGACAGCCAGGAAGATTTCCTGTGTGTACGTCAGGATTGGTTCAGATGTGGAAGTAGCATCTGACATGTAGTCATGCTGTACGTGGCCCAGGCAGACCAGTGTTCTTAATCTTTCGTACTGATGATTTAAGTTTAAGTGAGAGTTTCATGTACTTCCAAGTCATAGCTGAGGCTCAACTGGGAGTCACATAACATTGTCTTTGTAAAAAAGTGAGCGGGACTTTTACATCCGGAACCAGAAAGGCCCACTTCTTCCCACTTTGCATCTCTATTGCAACTTTACCTCTTGTGTTTGTCCTCTAACTCCCAGCCAAGATTTAAATTGATGTCTCCCACAAAAATATGGACATTGCAAAAGTGAAGGCTGGGTTGAGACATGGGATAAGATTTGAGGATAGTATAAATAGGGGAATAGAAGCCTACTCTTTGATACATATTAAAAGTCCCTGGTGTCACAGTGGGAGCCCACAAGATGTCTGCCGCGTGTTGTAGCGCTGCTGCTCACTGCGCTAACGTACTGTATCTCTCTGCCAAAGTAAACTCCCTCTTGGCGGGTCAGGGCTGGGTGTGCACAGGGAAAACATAAGGGTGTAGTGTAGATATAGTGTGTGACTGTACATATGTGTTTTAAAATGAAGAGTTACAGGAGGAGGAGCAGAAGATTATACCAGCTGCTTGCGGTTTTCCTCAAGGCGGAGTCCCAGAAGTCCTAGGAACGATCCAAGGGTCAGCTGCAGAGAACAAAAAGATGAAGAAATATGGTTCATTTTCATTGCAAACTGTACACCTTGCTATGGTTTGGTTCTCTTCCAAGTTAGAAAGAAATCAGCAAAACGGAGGGTGACATGCCATAATCAGCAATTAACAGTTATATGGAAATTGCTCATGCGGTACAACTTTAAAAACATATAGTGCGTTTTATGTTACATAATGTTGTAAAAGGTATTAAAGCTATAAAATGATATATGATTCAGGAGCACCATAGGTCAAATCTCACCACACATTCATCCAGAGACTGATTTTGCCGGATGTAGTTTAGGGTGGAATTTGGCAGCACTTCCAGAAGATTCATCATGTTCTTCCACTTTGAAAGTCGGAAGCCTGCATGCAAAGCCGAGCTCCTGTCTAATTACTGCAGGAAGTGCTCATGATGACGTCTGACTGAATCACAAAAGTGTCAATCATCAGTTTCACAGCCCACCGAAAACTGTGTCCGTCTCAAGGCCCACAATGAGCGAATCAAAACTGTTGGCCGACGCTGTGAGACTAAAGGATTGCAGCTTTGATTTCATAATGGATATCACATGCTGTAGCATGTTTTTGATGTGTTTCAAAACTTCCAGCTTATTTCCTGAGTTTTTTTTTTTTTTACTTTATAAATCTTTCATCTCGCCATCTGACTAAATCCTGATGGGGAATTACCAAGAGACAAATAAAGAACAACTTACAATAACTCCAGAGGTGTAGCCAGTCACATTCAGGCTCTCTGTTCGGGTGGTTGTGTAGACTCCCAGCACCACCAGCAGCAGGGACAGAGAGAGCATGCCCAGCACCAGCCACAGAGCTCTCCTGACCCTTACTATCATTTCTGGGAGAGAAACCCTCAGTCATGTTATATGGCACAGTGCAGGATGACTGAAACATAATAAACTACACCACATGCGTGCCAGCTGTGAGTCTCTTGGCAGCTGCCTACCTGCATATTTCAAGATTAACAAAACAACCCTAATTTGATTTGATGTATTTCTATTAAACTTAATTTAGTCATTCTAAACACAATGATATTATCCAAACCCCATGTCCCCAGCTTGTCCATTTCAAATATCATGTTTACAACACAATGAAAGAAGTGAAATTAATTCCATTGATTTTGAATGCTCACTGTAACTGTAACAAAAAACTCTCTCAGCTTTATACAATCAAACATCAGCTTTTAACGCTCAGGCTATTTGAAATACACAAAAAAGTTCCTCATTAATAAGCAAAATAAAAGATCCTACAGAAGAGTACATATCACTTTCAAACATCTGAAATCACTTTGTCTCTGATTATGTACAAATTGTTGTGGACAACAGTAAATTACTGTATTCGTTACACACCCTTCAAGAAGACAGCTGCTGGCAAAAGTAAAAACATACTCATTCAGTTTTTTTTCCCAGAAACTGCTGTTTTTTCTTTCCCCCTCTTCTTCAATTTCCAATATTTAGGCTACTCAAATCTATCAGTAATATCTACGATCAATCCACCAGAGTAATTTGTCTGGCTATTTGTCACCACCAACCCGAAGCTAAGATCCTCTCTCTAACAACCGCTGATAAACTAGAAGTTTTTACTGTCCTTTTTTTTCCTTCCTGAAAGTTAGCATTCCTTAGAATGTGTTTTCTAAAATGTACATCTAAGCTTTAATGACACAAAAACAAAACATCAAACACATTTGCCATAAAGCCTTCTTATAAACTCCTTTTGTCTTCAATATCTTATTCATTTCTGTGTTGTTAGATGAATAACAAAAGCCATGATAATATATATATACTGCTGTATGTAAAGGAAAAGTACAAATACTCTAGTACTACTGTAAAAAATAAAATACCATAAAGTAAAATATCATCACTACTATCGAATATCATAGAAATATACATTAGTTATAATAAAAAAACAATATGTAACGTGTTTAATCCTCATCTGTAGCAAAAATGCAAATTTAAATACATATTAAAAACAAAACAACCTTCATTAAACCTATGTTCCTTATTAAAGGCCAATCATAAGCACACAAATGCACTCTGATGCAGACCGTAAAATGTTTACGCCATCATTGAGCTTTTGTGCCTCCCATCCTTAAATGCACCTGTTTGTAGTGAAACACAGCTGAAATCGCTTTGCTCATTAATTGGCTTTTAGGATTACTTAGGTAAAAAAAAATGTCTTGCAAGCTTCAGTTGACCACTGCTGCTGCTGATGCTGCGCCCCAACATTCACTGTTACTGTAGGAGTTTGTAAAACTGTGTCATTCAATGTTGATCCGGTTCAATGTCAAATGCGTGTGAAGTGAACGATTACAGCTATGCACAGCTACGCTGCTATTAACCTGCCGATGGGTAATGTGTTATTGGGCCTACAACAAATTAAATTTCATTCAAATTGATTGAAATTAAGTAAATAGGCTAAATTTCACTAAATCTCGAGTAGCCTAATAATAATGTGATTTAGGTAAATCGCTTAATTTAATGCATCTATCTAATGTCACTACCTGAAAGACGTACTAGTATAGAATCACATGACCACATCTGCTCCCAGTAAATTACCTGTTGCTCGGCTCTGTGGCACTGGTTTGTCCCGGCCCGCTGCTCCCTTGATCCTTGCAGTCATGATGGATCCACTTCTTTGAAATAAAAGTTTTCCCCCTGCGACAGTTAATGATTCGCTAGTTTCACGGCAGGTTCACAAGTCCTCTCTCAAAGCTTCCTGACGTCCTGCAGCACACACATCTACTGAGTGGATGTAAGTCTACTTGGAGTGCAGCTGTGTGTGCAGATCAGTGCGTGACGCTCCGGCCTCTGCTGCATTCAAGGACGATCGGGGAACGTGCCCTTCTACTGCTGTCAAAGCACTCCTGACAAGTTAGGATACAGAATGGCCAGCGTCCTTTGCAGATCATAAAAGTTTGACCCTGCAGTTTTACATCAAGCATCAAGCAACAACATATACGTTGGGGTTAATGTGCTGCAGCAGCAGAGTGAGGAGGAGAACATGACAGAATATGTGCAAAGAAGATGTTAATCAGTGGGAGTTTATGTCTATGGCATGGCTGGATTAACCTCCTATGAGGGACAGGGAGCACATCTTTCCTGTAGGGCCCCTCTTAATACCTCCCACTCTCTAGGAAATGTGTACAGTTTTTCTATGCTACAGCTTTCTTTGCTCCCATATGTGCTGTGTGGTAGTTGAATTAAATGCACAAAAAAAAAAGAACACAGAAGGTCTTAAAACCAGATTCTGACTCAGGGACCCTCTTCAAGACAGGGCTTCAAGATGTGAAACTAAAGCAGCTGCAATATTTTTACCAGAGCAGGTTAATGATACTGAAATAGTCTTGTGCAACACTGTGTAACGAAAACTTAAACAGTTACTTGGACAAAGCCTGGAAGAGGAGGAAAAAGACCTTTATTATTATTTATTCATGTTAATTGAAAGTATACACAATGTGATTTTGATATATAGCAGTGTTTTGTATTCACATGTGGCAAAGGATTAATGTTGATGTTTCACTAGGTCATCTTCAGGCATTTGACTTACAGTACTTACCTCCTAACTTAGATTTCTTGCAGCCGTGATTGCTTGGGCACTTCTTCATTGCTCAGCTCATGTCCCTTTTATAACTCAGTCAAACGGATGAAGAAAGACATTTAGAATAGTAAAATTTACTGTAAAATGGCCTCAATATCCAGATCAATTACAAAAGGAAATTGTTGTTGGGTTTTATTAGCTTATAAATTCTCATTGGTTTTATGTTCAAAAACATTTCACGGAACTATAATAATTGTGTAGCCTCTGGGGGAGAAATAAATCTAATTCATACATATTATTGAGAAAGTTTCTCTATGACCATCCAATTGTCACAGTAATCAATCAAATCCCAACAGCCAAGAAAATCCACATATTTAGAGTCAAGGAAATTTACTATGCAATTCATCATTTTTATGGAGCAGACAGATAAGTTGATATATCGACGTAAGAGGAGCCAACTCTACTTAACCTGGTTCCAGGCGTCCAAATCACCGCCTATATCTCACACTCATGTGTCCAGTGATTTAATGGAGTGGGAACGGCATGGTCCTTCAGTCATCAGAGCATCAGAACAAGCTGGAAATTCACAGATGATTAAATATTTCATTAAACACTTTGCTGTATTAAAGTGTAATTCAAGAGGAAAAGGGGAAGGAAATCTTTAAATCTGTTGCTTCTTCCTTTCATCCCTGCATCTGGCATTTGGACTGCCGTATAAATCTGTTAGATAAAATCATCTTTGACATCTAGTTTCTCTTTGTTTGGGACAAATGATGCACCACAATCAAATCTTTCTAAATGAGCAGTACCTCAGGAAGCTTGAACAGTATTTTTTATCTCCTGGTGCACTAACACTGATCTTGGGTCTGCACTGCAGAGACACTGCAGAGGGCTGCACACTGATTGATTGGTTGATTAAAAATCCATACGTCCTATGTTGGAGTTCAAGGTCATGACCAGTTGGTGTAAAACATTTGAAAATGTACAGGAAAGATTTAACATGCAAGTATCTCCAGACTAGCTCAGAGGATTTGTCACCATATCAAAATAAATGTAAATGTTATCTAATGTGAGGTGGATTTTATAAGACTTTATTAGAGACTTTATTCAAATTGTCACGTGGCATTGCACAGTACGTGACCTGGTGGTAAATTCATTAAGGAATGAGCATCTAAACTAAACTACATCAGTGATGATATGGCAGCACACTCCCATCTGAACTGAGGAATTCTCAAGAAAAAAAACAGATGTTGCTGTGTGGTCTGTTCAGTTCACTTCATCTTAGAGAGCATAGACTGTATGAGGGCAAAAGTGATGCAAAACAGACAGCATGTATGCGACCATCATATGATGTTTTAGGGTTTACATATACTTGCCAGTTAACAAGTCCTTTAACTGAAAGCCCTACTAGTATTTAATGTCTATGTTGTCTGTTGTATTAAGTGCATGCTGGGGCTTACACAGCTTTTGATTTTTACTAGTCACCACTTTCTGTAATGCCGTCACTGACAACATTACAATAAGCGGCAACTAGCAAAAATGTGTTGCATTTGAAGAGTGAAATATTCGTCATTTGAGAACTGTAAAAATACTACAGCACTACAAAGCTGAATAAAGACATATACAGTATGTAAATATATGGAAGCAACAATGATTTACAGACTGACTACAGGTTCATTAAACTATGCTTGGTATTTGTATTCTGTATTTTGAAGGAGAAGTTGGGCCGCTTTAGCTGCACACTTGACTGGACCATTTCTTCGAAATTTCTGGATACAGTTCCTTTTCTTTGCATCAAGTTGGAATATTTTATTGTATAAATGCTACAATTCGGTCAGGTCGGTAAGGTAAGGTCTATAGAGTGTATTTAATAAGAAGAATTGGACAAATCTTCAAAAAGTCACTTTCAACAAAAAAGTGAATGTCAAAACAAGGGAATTAAACATCTCCATATCTTTGAAATATTCAGAGGAAGGACTAACAAAAAAAAAATTAATCAGTGTGCATAAACCTGTAACCTGTACAATGTTAAGCCTGATAAAAGACATTTGTTACCTGTTTGACATAATATACTGAACCTGAAAACTCAGTTCTTTTTCTGCTATACTGTTGTCCATGCAAGATGGGGCTATACAGACATGATGTAGTAGCTAGGAAACAGCGCCCTCTCCTGTTGCTATATAGACAAGACAATTGCTAACCCAGCTAGCATTAGCACTCAATAGCAATACTGAACTGTTTTCGTCCATTTTGTGTAGCTTAGCTAGCCTGGCTAACGTTACCTTGAGTACTGAGCAGCAGAGATGGATGACGGTGACGAGCCGGGTCTAGTCCTCTCTCACAACACTTCTTCAGGCTCTAAGTCGGGCGGGGACAAGATGTTTTCCCTAAAGAAGTGGAATGCTGTAGCGATGTGGAGCTGGGACGTTGAATGCGACACCTGTGCCATCTGTCGGGTACAGGTGATGGGTAAGTGTCAGCGTTATACCGCTAGTTTAGCTTAGCTCGGATACCGGCTAATGTAGCTAGCGCTGCTAATATACCCACTAATAGCTGAAATCCCAGCGTATCAACACTGAAACGCATTTTCCTTGATTTGCAGACGCTTGTCTCCGATGCCAGGCGGAAAACAAACAGGAGGATTGTGTTGGTAAGACCATGCCAACACTACAGCACAGCCCAGCTAACACTGTCTGGTCTGACTAAGTTGTCACAGTGATTCACCAAGCCAAGCACTCTTTATTCATCTTTAAAAGGCTGATTCATTTCAGACTAAAGGCTAACACGTATCTGAGGTCGCATAGATAATAATTGTTGGGGTGTATTTTTCGTTCTCAAACTCCAGCGTTTTGAAAATACATTTACTCAAGTACTGTATTTCAGTGTAATTTGAGGTACTTGTATTTGAGTACCTCGTTTTCTGATACTTTATTCATACAGTCCACTATAGTACAGAGAGAAATGCTGCACTTTTTACTGCATTACATTTACCTTGTTACAAGTAACTTTGCAGATTCAGATTAATAATACAAGATAAAATCAACAAACAAATTATGATTGATTATTATAGGTTAAAATAATACTTTATTGATCCCCAGGGAGGATATTCACAAGTTCCTCAGCCATAGTCATTTAAATGACCACCATTACCAACTCCAACATTAAAATGATGTAAACATTATTGCACCAATAATTCTACTCCAATAATATATGTTATTCAGAAATGTGACATTCTGCATAAAGAGTACTTTTACTTGATGCTAATACTTATATACGTTAACTGAATTTGAATTTCGAATGCAGGACTTTTACTAGTAACAGTTAAACATCAGTTTAATTCACTGTTCAGAAATATTGTTCTACTGTGATCTGAGTAACCCTCATGTTCAGATGTTGATTCATTGACTCACTCCCTATCTCTCTCTCTCTCTTGCTTTTTCCTCTTCTGTCTTTCAGTTGTATGGGGGGAGTGCAACCACTCCTTCCATAATTGCTGCATGTCCCTTTGGGTGAAGCAGAACAACCGCTGTCCCCTCTGCCAGCAGGACTGGGTGGTTCAGAGAATCGGCAAATAAACTCCACACCCGGGCAATCTAGATTCTCAGACAGCACCTGTATGCACCCAAAAGTGGTGACAGACTTGAAAATGATCACTGCAACATCCTGCGCAGAGCCACTGACATCAACAACATGATGTGGCTGGAGGGTCATGAAGAGACGGATGAAACTTGTTGCAGTGTTTGGTCACATGTTAGCTTTACATTATTGTCTGTGGTGGTGTTCGGCACCTCTAGAATATGTGACTGTCATTTAAAAAAAAATAAAGAATTGTGAATAGCTATAAATATGTACTTTTTCATCTAGTAGTTTGAATATGCTCAATCTATAATTCCTATAAATAAGTGAGATTATGGAAATTGGTACTATATGTTGTTATACATGTGTAGATTCAGGAAAGAAAGGGCTGGGTATGGAACATAACTTTTTTTTTTGCTACTGACAGAAATTTGTGCACATCATGAAACAGTCAAAGTACAGAAATGTGGCATTAAATTCTCACCAATACTCATTTTTACTCATTGTTTAATCAAACAATTCTGATTCAATCCATCATTTTGACACTTTTTTTGTGCAGCTGCTTGTGTTTAGACAACATTTATCATTTACTTATTGTCTAATCAGACATTTTCTGGTCGAAACATCAAAAGTTGTCTTCTTTAGTGCAATGAAAAAAGGTTTTTGTGGAAAAACATGTTACTTTTAATGTATCAAAAATATAAGTTTGTTATACAGAGTACCAAGACTCAAGTAATACTGGCAGGGCAGAGCTGAGAAGGTCTGAGGTACTATATATATGAGAGAATTTCGTTTGCAGATATGCAGAGGAAGTCACAACATGGAGGCAGCTCTTGATAACCACTATACCACTAGCACTTGTTACCCAGGTTAAAGGTGTTACAGGTTTCAAGCTTAACCTCCTTGTTGATTCTGACCTATTCACAGCAATCATTAAATCCAGGAGTTTGATCAACCAAACTAATTACATGGAAGGTGGGGATTTTTTTCTTAGCATTGTTCTAGCATAATGAATACATCAACACGATAAACACAGTGACGTCGGTGTGAAACAGTTCAGCGTTCCCTCTGTAAAACTGCTGAATATAGTTTCCTTGTGATGGAATATTGTAAGTGAGGAAGACTGATAGGGGTAATTCACTTAGACATGAGGCTAATGACTAAAAGGTCACTGCTTCAACCTTGTTGATCATGTGGGGGGAAGTGAACAAGAAGCATTCCCTGTCTCTTCCAGCAAACGTTCAACTGATATTTTACTGGTATTAACAATTTGCAGTTATAGTTATAGATAAACCTTTGTAGATACACAAAGCCAAAAATCTAATGCTCTTTACTCATGCTACTTGATCCTTGAATAAGCACTACACTTCTATAGCTTATAATGTCAAATTGTTTGAATTTGTGACAGAGAGGTAACGATGTAGTGTTTGCACTGTCCTGGACACTGCATATTTCCACTTGTAGCATATGTACATTTTACTTTCTCACATATATTTATAATTCACTTTTTTATCCTTTATGTTTCTTTTTTCTAACCCTCAGTTTTCACACTGGTCTATATAACTATAGGAGCAATACATTGCATTGCACTTTGCAACAAACCTTTGAATCCATGAATCCTACAGCATAATGCAGACTTACACAACAGCACCACAAACAGTGGTCTCAAAAGATATCATAAACTTGAGTCAACATTTCTCCGACAGAAACATTTTAAACAATTTAGGCTTGGAAAGGGCCATACCCTCTGCAAGACTGTTGTATTGAATTGCATCCAAATGGACAGGTGTTCATGTTATTTTGTGCACACTGTACACAGTGCGCAGTCTTCACTCTCCTGATTTCATCGGCTGCTTTAGGGTTAAATTAGTTATTAATTTTTTTCTCCTATAATAAGCCATGAAGTGTGCCAATTCATCCCATACTGCGCATTTTATACACACATAGCTCTATTAGTAGCTTCTTTATCTCATAAAAAGCTATAATCAACTGTAACTTGTTAAGGCCAGGAACTGCCACTTGATCATGACATGTTGGCAGCCCAATTACTGCACACAAGCAATTTGCATCTCCTAAAAATAGACCAGCCTAAAGCCTCTTAAGTTCAAACCACATAAGTTGCTTTCCCTGAGTGTCGTCTACGAATAAGTGTGCAAAGACACTTAGCTGCCAACAAATCCCTGAGAATAGAGGCGTGGTACAAGAGTTGCAGGATGATCAGGATGCAGGTGCTTGAGGTGCTCATTTGTGCCTGGAACCTGCAGATGAGTGAACCCTAGTGTTTCACTTTAACAGCTGCCTATTGGTATGCCACAGAATATGTCCAACATGGACAAACTGCCTGCACTGGACACCCTGGTGGCCAACACAGCCTACCTGAAGGCGCAGCAGGTAGATTTAAATGAGCTGAGAAAGCAGAGGCTCACGCTGACACTGCCCAATCCAAAGAAGTCCTCTTCTCTGCAGGCCGATGTAGGGAAGAATTTCGAGTCACTGTGTGAGCAACAGCCTATTGGAAGGAAATTGTTCCAGCAGTTTCTCCTGTCCTCTAACCCGCAGTATGTGGCTGCCACTGAGTTCCTTGAGGAGCTGAATAACTGGAGCTTTGCTGAAGATGAAATCAGAGAGACTTCCAAACAAACAATCCTCACTAAGTTCTGTCAACCTGAGGCCAGGAGTTTTCTCTCCTACCTTACAGGAGAGGATGCTGAGAAATGCAAGGATTTATCAGACAAGAACTTTGATGACGTGACGATGGGCCAGATAAGAGAAGCCACAAGGAATTTCCTGAAGGGAAAACCTTTCTCTGAGTACCTGAAAAGCCCCTTCTTCTATAGGTTCTTGCAGTTTAAGGAGTATGAGAAGCAGAAGATTGATGACAAATACTTTTATGAGTTTAGGACTTTGGGAAGAGGTGGCTTTGGTGAGGTAGGTACCAGAAGTCCCCGCATCTTTATAAACATGTAAATCTATGTCTGAGTTAATGTTGGATTATGTAAGTTTTGATAGAAAAATACAAACTTTTTCTGTTGAATTTCTGAGCAATTAAAGGCACCCTTGATCAATTTCATACACAGGAGTTTTGCTGCTACTGCCTCATGTGGTCTGGTATGACCAGTAGCTTACGGAGGCTAATGTTAGCTTATATTAGCAAACTTTAGATTTATATTGCTATATAACAGACTTTAGTGAGTAAGTGAATTGAGATGTGCTAGTGTTTGCGATTATGTTTTAGCATTTAACATTAACCTGTAATTGTCACATGTAGCTAGAGAGGCCACTGTTCAGTAAAAGTTACAGTTTCGCTCTAAAGTCACAGCAAAAAGTAGCAAAAACATTTCAGGAGGACACAGTAACAACTGATACTAAAAGAGGAATAACCACTTAATAAAACTAAAGTAATGTTGCTCTGTCTGGCAGGTATGTGCGGTGCAGGTGAAACACACAGGTCAAATGTATGCCTGCAAGAAGCTGAACAAGGCTCGTCTGAAGAAGAAAGGTGGCGAGAGGCTGGCCCTCCTGGAGAAGCAGGTCCTGGAAAAGGTCAACAGCCTTTTCATTGTGAACCTGGCTTACGCTTTCGCCAACAGAACCCACCTGTGCCTGGTCATGGACCTCATGAACGGAGGAGACCTCAAATTTCATATCTATGAGCTTGGTGCGCGGGGTATCCGTATGGAGCGTGTTGTTTACTACGCGGCCCAGATAACCACTGGTATCCTCCACCTGCACTCCATGGACATTGTGTACCGGGATATGAAGCCTGAGAACGTACTGCTGGATGGAAAAGGACAGTGTCGACTATCAGACCTCGGACTGGCCGTGGAGCTGCCGAAGGGCAAAATGATTTGCCAAAAGGTTAGTGTGGTGACCTGTTAGATGGACTGCTGATCATACTGTTCACATATAGAGAAATAGCTTTGTTATTACCCTACCCTCCATGGTCAATAGTCAAAAATATACATTCTACATATACTATAACACAAATGCTTCATTACCGACATGAACAATACTTGCTCTCTCTTTACTGCCACCATACCATATATGTGTTCACTGATCACTATAAGTAGCTTACCAGGAATAGATATGATTGCTCTCAGTCCTGCTCTTACCGACAACACAAGAGAGAATAACCCTGTGACCCAAATTAATCTTATTAAAAGGTGCCTGACCTCATCCCCAGCTGGAGGCTGCGCCGGTGGACAAATGTATGGAAGACTGACCAGAGCCGGTTAGCATTAGCTGGTTGAGCTTTGCTTTACTAATACCAGATATGGCTTCCATGAGTCTGTCCAAGGAGATGAGTCAGGAGATTCACAGCAGGGCTACACTCTCTACAGGTGGGACACAGAGTGAACAATATAACGTCTGATTGGTCAGCCGACCGGCCTGATGGAGGGAAGTCAAAGCTGCATTATTTGCTTTAACAGTGTTTTATTGTCAGCTTCCCATTTCTCACTGCATTCCTGTGTCTGTGTGTCTCCGTGTTTCATTAATTAATTATGTTTTCAATCATGTGGAGGTTGGTCAAGATAGTCTACTGCAGATAACTGAAATTAAATTTGAAAAGGTGAATTAATTACTGGCCTAGATTATCCTTTCTGGTCTCAGAAATGTCTGTCCTACTTTGAGTAGAGAGTACATCATATGATTTTGCATGCAGCAAAAAATACAGAATAGCTTATTTATTTTAATTGTGAGGGACCAGGTACATAGCAATATGTACGGTACCGTGTCTATACTGCAGTGTCTCCCAACCTTTCTGAATTTGACCAGACCTGAATATTATTGTTGAAGTTATACCTCCTAAGTATGGAGAAGGCTTATGTCTCTTTGAACTCTCCCTCATCCTGCGTCCCTTCTCCCCCCCTGTGCGTTGTCAGGCTGGTACGACTGGCTACATGGCTCCTGAAATCCTGAAGCAGGAGTATTACCGCACGTCTGTGGACTGGTGGGCGCTGGGCTGCAGCATCTATGAGATGGTCGCTGCCCGTTTGCCCTTTAAAGACTTCAGAGAAAAGGTGCACAATGAGGAGGTGACTCGCCGTACTCTGGAGGACGACTGCAAGTTTGAACACAATAGCTTTGATGCTCCCACCAAAGACATTATCAGCCACTTTCTCAAGAGGAAGGTGGAGCTTCGGCTGGGGTGTCGGTAAGTAAAAACTTCTCTCAGAGACACTGTAAAGTCTGTCACATGTGGTTATGGTGTGGGTTTCATGGAGAGTATATTTCCATCAAGAAAATAGAAAAACAGGCCTAGGAGCACCAATTCAAAGAAGGGGAACACCTTGAAGGGGTCACCAGATAAAAGGTTGCGAGATGATTAAAAGAACAGGGAAAATTACAAAACATACTGTAGTTCTGCTAAAATGTTGTTTTCTGACTTTTTCTCACTTTATTTATTGACTCTCTTTTTGATTCTCTGACTTTTCTTTTTTCTTGTGAATTACTGGCAAGTTTTACTTCTGAAAGCCTCTAAACATTTTTAGATGTAACAATCTGAGAAGACATTGCTTCATTTTAAGGGGTCGTACACCAAAAATGTTAGGAACTACTGGTCTAGACAACAAGATTCAGGGGATAGAGATAATAGAAATGAGCTTCCAGATTAAATCTTCTGAAGCACTACGTTCGTGCCAGCACATGGGGGTGCTGATTTTATTTGGAACACAAGTTAATACATTTAAGACTAGAAGGGCACTCGGAGAGAGCAGCCCTCTGTTCTTCCCTGGCCTATGCCCCATCCCTATACCAAGTTTGGTGCAAATAGTTTTTGCATAATGCTGTTGACAAATAAAAAGAGACAGGTGAAAACGTGCAACTGACTTGAATGCAACTTGTTCAAAACACAGCAGCCAGATCAAAGGCAGCTTTAGGTTGTGAAACCCTGGTCGTCTAGGTTTGCTGTATGAAACACTGGGCACTGCAACGTAAATAGAGAAAGAGAGATATGAGAGCAGTTTTGAATATTTTTTTTTCCTAAACCCTACTCAAAACACATCACTTATGTCCTGGTCAATGGATGTCCTTCATGTCATATTCTGATTGGTTGGCTTGTAGACGTGGGGTCGTAGCAGTGGTCACACGGTAAATTTGATCCTAATTTTCTGACACTCTGAATTTTGCCAGAGTCTGTCCTTGGTCACCAAAGGTCCAAATCAGCCACAGACTTTACCGCGTTTCTCTCACGACTGTCAACATCAGCGTCTCAAAATTACAATGTCTTTAAACACGTACAAGTAACTGTTACATCACACAGAACTGACTTTGACTTTCTTTTTATCACTTTCAGTACTCTTAGTGGTACAGGTCAGTTTTAACTTTTACTGCCCTATACTCAGACTTTAACTGCCCTAAACTACACAGAAGAGTGAGGGGGATGTCAGTGAAGGCATCTTATCAGAAAAACAGAAGAAAAACACTTTGTATGGGTCTATTTCATATAATACAGTACAACATAATCAAATCAACTTGTGAAGCAACTTGTAATGCCTCACATGAGAATCTTATGACCCAGTTTAATTGTTTCACCTGCCCTTATATCATAACTTTCAATCTCAGTCCAGTCATTAAACATCTCCTGTATTGTGTCTTTCTAATATTAGTGGTGGTGACCCACGAAGCCACGCTTTTTTCAAGAGTATCAATTTCTATCGTCTGGAGGCGGGGCTGGCGGAGCCCCCCTGGGTGCCAAAGCCCAACGTGGTCTACGCCAAAGACATGGACAAATTCATGCACACCTCCAAGGTCCAGGACATTGCGCTTGATGATAAGGATGAGAAGTTTTTCAGGGAGTTCAGCACAGGTGCCGTCTCTATCCAGTGGCAGAAGGAGATGATTGACAGCGGATTGTTTGACCAGCTGAACGACTCCAAACTGAATGGACATGCGTCTGAGACTGTGTGGAAATCCAGGATGTGCATCATACTTTAAACATCTCATCGCCTGACTAACATGCAGAGATGAGATAAAACAACAATGCTTCTGAATAGTTAAGTGCCTGGCTATAATACCGCAGCTCAGGAACCATAAGCCCTTAAAATATTTTTTAACAACTTTTTTTTACAAAAGAGGAATCATCTTAGAAGATGGATGGACAGAAACATACACTGACATTGAGCTGCAACTGTTTCTTTATGCTTGCCCTCTATTCCTGGTGAGACAGCACATCCCACAGCATTCATAGTTTCCATTACATCACTCTGCCATTTTGGCAGGCCTAAGTGTTTACATGTGTTTGTAAACAAGCTACATAATGGTTGTGTGTCACTGAATGGCAGCAGGATCATTACCAGTATTTGCAGAAATGTGCCACATTTGTAAGGAAGACTGAAGTGTCACAGAAAGGCCATGAAAGCCTTCTGCTCAGATGAATGGACAGTGTCATGTGACCTCAGTGCTGCAGACTGATGTGAAGTCTCTCAATAGCACAAGTTCACCACTAAGTGCCGCCAGACACCCATGAAGTGCATTCAACCTCCCGCAGCGCTCCTCATCATCCCTGTTGTCCTGGCTGTGCTGCTCTGGTATTTACAAGCACTGGATGACTCGTTCGGCTTTAACAAGGGGATGCTGGGAGACAAACTGTCGTATACACATAGTTTTTCCATTAAAAAAAAAAAAAAAACATCTTAATATAGAATTTTTGGCATTAAAAAGGCAATGCCAACCCCTTTTATTACCCCCCCCCCAAATCCCCTTGTGTTTACAAGCTATACACAACCTAAGTAAGAGATGTTAACAACTTATAACTTAGCAACAACAAACAACATAGGTTATTTTTTAAAAGCTACCGATTTAGCCTTCACAGATGGTTCGTTCTTGTATCCATACAGTGTGGATTTCTTTTCCTACTGCTCAGGTAGTGGGAGATGATCTGTGTCCAACTGTTCTTAAAATGTATTGTTTCATTTCAGATTTTTCATCCCCAGATGGATGACAGTGACTACTTGTTTTACTTGAGAAGATAAGGAGATTCTTTGTTTCTTTAATGTATTTTTGCCTTTATTATAGCGAGCAGAGAGAGGGTTAGAGAGGAGAAATAACATGTGACAAAGGTGTCTTATTTCTGACTTAACTCACTAATTTTACCTGTGTTTTACTTTATTTCGTGCCCCCAGGTCTTAAAATGAAGATGTATTATGTAACGTAATGCATTTCTTTTTAGTTTTACTCATAACTCACATAAAGAGCTACATTGTTTGTATGTAACAGTGCCAATGATATTTTGTAACATTTAAATGTCATTTCATACTCATGATGTTTTCTACTATTTTCTGTGGGATGTTTTGGCTTGTAACATTTTATATTGTTGTTTCTGATACTTCACTACCATGCAGTTTAAATGTTTTTCACAACAGTGATTTCTGGTCTTCTCTGTGTTTGACAACAGTTTAGAGATGAAACTCTTTACACTGTATCTGCATTTAACAGTTATGCAGTTATCTTGTTGCTCATCTCAAGGCCCAGATATCGTCAATCATCACCCTATCCAAACAGCCAGGATCAGTCTGAAAAACAGGAAGGTGCTTCTCTCTCCAAAAACATTACAGAAACCACAGTACGTTCATAATTACAGCATAATTTCACCTCACTATTAGATTCAGAGTGTATCATCCGTCACTCAGTGTATCACTCCAAAACCTCAGACCCATTTAGATAATGAGGGACACATAAACATGTGCTGTGCTAATTCCTGCGAGGCGGGTGACCTTACAGGGCTGAGAAGTGGTTCCGTTCACGCTCGACTGTCATGAGATTAGAGCGTGGTTCAGATGGAAATCCAAGACGCAACCTGATCATCATCGGCTGCGAAGGCAGAGTGGGGAGTCCACTGTGGACGACGTGACGACAAGACAAACTCAGCAGAAGGTCTCCAGGAACATGTTTTTACCAGGCGCTTACAAGCCTCTGCCAGGGTTTAGTTCCCCATGGCCCGACGCTGTAACGCTGCCCTCCAATACACAAACTGCAGGAACAACTCTGCAAAGCACACACACACGTTGTATGTATCGTTGCACATCTGCACTCATGCATGCAGATACACACACATGCATGCATCTTTACATACTTGTGATATGGCTGATCGTGCAGGCAAAGATGTACACAAACCACACACACACTTTAATAAACACTTTCACATACACACTGTGATACACACTCACTTACTTAAACCCTCTCTCTCTCGCTCTCTCTCTCTCACACACACACACACATACACACACACACACACAATCGTATTACCTCTGTAGAAGCAGGCATGGGGTTTTAGAGATCAAAGCAGGACAGGGTGTAATTTGGTATCTGTTACATGCCCATGCCCTGGACTCACATCAAAGACATGTGCCACACTTCAGCTCTGCCCTGGCATCCTCAGGACGGTATCACACCACTGATATTGCTGTTTTTTGCCCTTCTTTGGCTGTAAGTGTGTGTCTATATTTGTGCCTACATGCACGTGTGTGTTTCCACAGATGTAAAAATGAGAACTGCCCTGGTTTGTGACTATATATGCACTCGGGTGTGTCTGTGAGAGTGCGTGTGAGTATTTAGGATAGGTGAGAAAGTGGTTAAACAGAGGAGACAGAGAGGCCATTGTCTGCTGAGGGAAAGTGAGAGCCAGCCATGTGGGAGAGAGATTGAATGAGGAAGAGGGTTGTTGCTTGCTGTCTCGTACTCACAGCTAGTGTCAGGTCTTTATTTTTTGGGTCTAAAATTTTGTTTTTCAACAGATGAAATTTTTTTTCCCTCTACTTTTCATACCATTTTATTTCACAACAATGTTGATAAATAAGGGTCAAGAAGCGGATCAGGCCCAAGATCCTCATTGAGCCACTAGGCTGACCCCACTACCGTTCAGGAAGCGTTTAGTTTTTGGTTAACATTCAGTTTTTCAAGCTTCATTGCTTGAATTCTTAACATTTCCACAAATAAGTGAATTCCTGCAGGGCGGTCCAACAGAAACAGAGCGTGTGTGTGCATGATGTTCTTCCCCAGTGAGGCCCAACGGGCAGTTTCCAAGGCGCCCAGACCTCAGACCCCTTCCACTGCCAGGGGCTGGACAACATCATGGATAGAGCGCCCGATCAGACACACACACACACACACACACACACAGCACACAAACAACACCACAACACACACACACACACACACACACACACACACACACACACACACACACAAACACAAACACACACACACACACACACACACACACACATTCACACACATACTTGTAAACAGTCCCACACTCTCAGCCCTTGTCCTATCTCTACACCATGTTTGGTCCCTTTACTGCAAAAATCATCTGTCTATGTCGTTTAATCTCATGTTCAGACTTCAATATTTATTTTTAACAAGAAAGCAAATTGCTGCCCGTGGGGCCAACTACTGCCGCTAGTTCCCTGTATAGACCCATGTTTTGGGAATTTTCTAGAAAAGAGCATCAATGTCGTGAACTGTGACTGCACAGCAGTTAAAGAATCAAGCAAAAATACATGTTTGCACAGAATTCATGAAGCATGTTGATTTGTACTGGAAGCAGTGAAAATGATCTCACCACGTTAACAGATTGTTTTCACTTGATTCATGAAAATGGAATTTTATGGCTCAGTAATAGAAGGAACTGACTTTTTTTGCAGTGGGGTTTGAAGGGTTTCTTGCGATTTTTTGCATGGGAAAAATCCTGAAAAAAGTTGCGTAAAAAAACAAAACATTTTGCTCAATAAATATATAAATTAGGCCGATTACAACCAGAAATACTGTCCCAGTTCCCCAGACACCTATGGGTCCTAGAAGCCACAGGTTTACTCCATATCAGCTGGTTTTACATAACTGGATTAATTACAGATTTGATGAGGAAATTTGCACCATTAAAGTACAATATCTACTACAACAGTGACTATTTCAATCGTTTATCAATTATTTTTAACTAATCATTTTATCTGTTTATCCATTACTTTTAGCTAACTGTTTACACTTCACCTTTCACCCTCTTTCAATCACAGTTTTTCAATCATGAGTTGAGCCGCTCTTCAATCCCCCCCCCCCCCCCCCCGGTATATATAGTCTACAGGATATATAGCCCCTGAATCGCTGCAATTCAATCTGATTATAAGACTCCAACTACACCAGACTACTTAAACTTTCATCCTACTTCTTAACTTCAGTTTAGAGTTTACCAGTTTCTGTGATCAGCACTGTGCCACATCTCTCCGGTCACCTGTCACAGGGAGTAAAGTTCTCTCCCACAAGAAGAAAATCCCAAGGAAACAGCTTAAAGTTCAAAAAGTTACAGCATCCTGAAACCCGAGCTGGCCGCTGCGTAAAGCTTTCTGATGTTCCTCACTCCTCCACTGCAGGCTGATTGAAGATCAGCACATCAAACGAAGGGAGAGGGATACAATGATACAGAGTACTGTATCAGGGAAACAGTTTACAACCCCTCATTCTGAACTGTGGAGGGAAAAAACAGTTGCGGTGCATGTGTTAATGTACTTTAATTACAGTACAACCTGCTGCCTCGTGGGTCAGTGACCGAGCGGGTTTTGGCATCTGTGTTTGTGTGGACATCTCTGCCTGCCTGCCTGTGTGTGTGTGTGTGTCTGTGTGTGTGTGTTAGTGCATAGGAGAAGTGCTCAGAAGCAGGCATACAAGGAATTGATTCCACAGTGTTGAATGATGGTGACACAAAAACAGAAATATAAGCCGTGAGGTGGTATTCGTTCCTAAGAGTGTATCCAGTTTGATTTAATTAGCTGGTACTTATTGCATTCTTTGTTAGCGGTGTAATATGACTGACAGTTGGCACGGCAGCCAGTCTGGACTGAATCCAAGTCCATCTCTGCTGTTAGTGTGTGTGTTCCCAGACTCTGCGACCTGCCTCTTCCAGTCTGTCACTGCGTTTCCAACTCACACTATTACATTGTGTT